CTATCCCAGATAAAATAATGCTGGTTGTTACTGAAATGAGGGTGCACCCATAGAACAAGAATAACAGGCATTTCCCATACTATCTTGGACAAATTTGCATATCTTGGGCAATTTAATTTCCACAAGTCAAAATATTATAACTTGATTTGATCTATAATAAAATCATGTATATGTAAAATATATTAAATATCACATCAAGTGAGAATGATTTTTTTTAGACAATTCTAACCTTACTATAATTCAATTATTTCAACAGTATCTTACATTTCATTTTTCAATATGTATTTAATTATTTAAATAATATCCTACTTTTTGTTTCCAATATGTATTTAATTATTCCAATAATACCTTACTTTTTGCTTTTTGATATTTATCTAAATATTTCAATAATAGAATATTTTTCACCAATTATCATTAATTATTTCACCAATTATTTAATATTATGATGAATGTACATTTGATACATTTATTACCTTACTTTTCATTTTTCAATATGTATTTAATTTATTTAACCATATTTGACAGATTTATTACCTTTTAATTTTTTAATATGTATCTGATTTATTTAATTATTTGAGCAATATTATCATAAATTATTTTCTCAATTATTTGGTTATAGTCAATGTATATTTGACAGATTCATTCAACTTGATTAGATAGTAAATTAAATTCATTAAAAAAATTGGAACAAAAAATGAATATTTTTAGAGTTTCACTACTAAAAAATAGCTTTTCACCTACGAAAAATTACCAACGGTTGATATTGCATCCGTCGGTGATTAAAAACGGATTATCCGTTGGTAAAAGTAATTCACTTTTAGCTACGATAATTAGTAACAGATTTTTCATTGGTAAATATGACATCTCTTTACCAACCGATATTCCGTGCCTAATGTAATCGTTTAACATCTGAATCTTCCTCCAGCGGATATTCCGTAGGTGATGTACCAAATATTACCAACGAATTGCATCCATTGGTAATTAGAAACGAATAATCCGTTGGTAAAAGTAATTCACTTTTAGCTACAATAATTAGCAACAAATTTTTCGTTGGTAAAGATTATATCTCTTTACCAGCGGATATTCCGTACCTAATATAACCGTTTAACATTTTGATCTTTTACCTACGGATATTCCGTTGGTAATTAAAAACGGATTATCCGTTGACCAACAGATATTCCGTGCCTAATATAACCATTTAATATTTTGATCTTTCAGCAATGGATATTCCGTTGGTAATAAGAAACGGATTATCCGTTGGTAAAAATAATTCACCTATCCCACATCGAAAATTTACAACAATATCTTTGTAGTTGCCCTCTATAAATTTGTGGTTCAATAAAGAGTTAAACAATATTTTGACCTTTAAATTCAGTTGGCTAAAAATAAAAAAATAATAATAAATAAATAAATAAATAACTTTTTTACCATACGGTTATTTACAACATTGATTTTTATCAATTATAATGGTAGACATTTACAAACGAAAAGTCGGCTGGTATTGGTTAAGACTTTTACTAGCGGAAACTCCGTTGATAAAAGATTTACACTTTACCAACAGAAAATTCGTTGGTAAAATGTTTACTCTTTATCTACGGCATAATTCGTTGGTAACTATCAGTGACCCTCAAATTACCAACGAATTTGTGGTTGCAAATATTTCATTGGTGAATATTATTAGCAGCGGATATTAAGGCTTTAGGAATGGAAAATCCCTGCCTGAAACTCTGTTTTTTAGTAGTGTTTTCTTCCAATTTAGCTATGGAAGGGAGGGAATATAATTCATTAATATTAAGTTCATAGAGATGGCTTAATTTGAAAGTAAAAAAGTATAGTTTTTGTAGGCAATACAGTGTCTCCAGAATAATTTAAAATTAGGAAAATATTTACCCAGGAAAATTAGAAGTGTAACATAAAAAAATGTGTCCTTGGTATTAACTTAACGCTTAGATATCGATATTACATATACAATCAAACATTTATGATGCAATGAAAATAAATAAATAAATAATAAATAGTTTCATCACCTCCAAGCTTAAAAAACCTCAATTCCTAATTTTCAATCCACGTTCACCTGTTCTTCAAAAAAAAAATGAGCAGTATTAATTTAACTAAGTAGGTTAATCGCTGTAGATGTGATCATTATCAAGTAACAATAATTTAACACAATGGTTCATACTTCATTTATACTGTGCTCAAGACTTCAAAAGTAAATATGAGTTATGGTATAAATTTGCGAGATACTTTGTGAAAATAAAAATATAAGGTCATGAAATACCTTGGTAACATATCCGTGATCACCCTCTGCATACATTATTATAAGAGAATTGTACAAATAATGGTAAATTTAAGGATGCTTTATTGATATGCTGGAACATTGTGGAGAATCAGGTCCATACACATCCCAGGTCTTATGATCAACTAAGGTTACTAAGAAGAACTATTGGTTCCAAACCCTCAATCTGCACATGATTTCATGGGAGTTTTAGGTGATTTGAAATTGGATCCGTAAAACAATTATGTAAGCCCTTGATAAAGCGACATGCAAGAAAATACAATAAAACTTGCCATTAACACATCATAGATTCCTATATTGAATACGAAAAATTGAAAGTGGCATAGAAATGTTGATGATTCCGTAGAATAATGAAAGTTTGGCGGCATCTATGCAAAATCTCATATTTTCAATCAAAAGTCATATAGAAAATGATAAAGCTGTAATGAGAGTTTAAATAGCAAGTGTACGAAATAAAACCTAAACTTTAAAAAGACGCAATTATCTGTATATAACTAAAGTAATCAGAATAAATAAAACTTGAGAAATCATTCAAAAATGATAAATCATTGATGAAAGTTTAAATAATTAAAATCGAATGAAATCTTCGAAAGGATCTAAATGCCATTTCATAATTAAAGTTGTTGAATATAAAAATAAAAATTAAGAAAACAACTGAACTATTATAAATTTGGTGGCCATCTCGAAAATTTTTATGGTAGTCCACTTTCATTATTTAGAATCTGATCCATATCTATTAATTGTCATTCTCCTTCTATCTCTAACTTGAGAAAACATGACTTTCACCCATTCAGCACCTACATTTCTCCTTCATTATACTTTTTCTAAGTGATATGTCAATCATAAATGCCATTAATCAAACATATCAAACACTAGCATGTGTGTAACTTTTCCTTTTGTGAGTTAGCCCCTATTTAACCCTCATTTTTGGGGGAAAATGTGTTTTGGAATAGTGATTTTTTGGAAAACATGTGGTTAAAAAAATGAAAAAAAAAATGATTTACGAGTAATATTGTTTCATTGGAAAAAGTATGGTTGAAATTGAGTTTTGGAAAAATAGGGCTTAATAAAGTGTTTCTTTCAATAAAAAAAGTATGGTTGAAATTGAGTTTTGGAAAAATAGGGCTTGATAAAGTGTTTCTTTCTTCAACTACCATCCCTAGATGTGACCATAGCCTTTCTAAATATTCACCCCACCAAAAAAATCGAGCAGCAAATCATCATTGTTCGCTACAACCAGATCTACACTTCTATTTGTCTCACCTAAATCTACCTTACACCACATACCCAACGTGACCTATCAGCTGCCATCTTTAAATAACTATATTTCAAAGAAAAATAAATCCAGCTGTGTACACAAATAAATGTAAAGTTTAGCATTATACAATGGTAACAATGCCAAATTTCATGCATTTTTAGCAATCTAATGACTGTATATAATTCTTAAAATAACTTTATGATTCTATTTTAAAAGCAAATTAATTTTAATTTTAAGTGATAAGCTTATGATTAAAAATAGAGAAAGAATGTTTAGATTAAAGAAAAAATAATGGAAAAATATAATTCAAAGAAATAATAATATATGTAGTTACACAACAGTTCGTGGGTAAAAAAAATCCATGAAAATGTGCAAGCAAACACAGTGGAAATAATAACTTAAAATGAGTTAAAAATGTCAGTTAAACGTGCTTCGACAAACTATCATTATTAAAAGGAGAAATAGAATATTCTATAAACTCAATATACTTGTATTACTATATTTTTCTTGCTCAACTTCTCCATGTAAAAATTTAGATATTTTATTGTACATCACAAGCAGGCACAAACTATTTTTTTCTAATTTCTCTCTCTGAGAACTCGTTCTCCCTCTAGGATTTCCCACAGGAAGCACTGATTTCTGCAATAATGTGTACAAAATTCTTCTATTTACTACACAACAACTCTTTGTCACGAACAATTTTTATTCCTCATCCCCTTCTACCTGTCACATTCAATTCTTGTATTAATTGCCTAATTTCAATGTGATTCTATATCTTAATTGAATTGTACGATGTTCATCCATTTACAGTATTTGGACCTCTATTTTATACATATATAATTTCTAAACATTTTCTTATATTTTCAAATTTGAGTCAAATCCGACAATTTCCACATTTACTCAAATTTTCACGACAAACATTCACGCACCTTTACTAGTAGAAATCATTATTTCTAGATCAACTTTCATAGTTTATTGTCGAAGATAGGAGCTATATTCATACATTCATTGAACATGAATCTACTAGATATTTGGCATCTTTCAATTTTGATCTTCATTCTTGTTACTAGCCAATAAATCTCCAATGTCACTTCTTATTCTCTCGCATTAGTAGGAGGATTTTCAAATGCATAATTAAGTCTATTTATAAAAATAACAGTTTTCCTTTGAAAATGCATTAGATTTCATATCTTTAGTACATCTGGAAACTAACGAATTCGCGTTGACTACAGTTAAGCAACAATAATCGAACTTGTAATTAATTTTTACTGAAGTGTTCTAAATTTAAAACTTAACATCAATCAAAAATTTCATCTATTTAATATTTTTATAATAACAGACACGATAGCCAAAACAAAATCACGGGAAGAATAAAAACAAAGCCACTGTAATTAATCCAAAAACAACCACAGATGAAAGTAGAAGGTTACGATTTATGAAAGAGAGTTAATTCCTAAAGCTGGGTCCAGCGGCATCTTCCCTAGGAGGACTGGAGCTAGTCCCACCCATTTGTAATGTTGTAGCCCGGTTCTTTTCCAGTTCCTCCATTCGAGGCATGATGTCCTGCATATTTTGCTCCGCCAAATGTCCCATTTCAGTTATGTAATTTAGAGGGGCATTTTGCAGACTCGACAAACCAGCCACGCACTGGTGCATCAGAATCTCCATGTCTGTTAATCTGTTAATCCTTTGAAGCTTTTCGGCTTGTTTATGAGACTTCTGAACCCTTTGAATCGTATAGGATTCCTGATTGAACAGTCGCTGGGTCTGTTCCATTTCCGGAAGTTCCCGAAATCTGGAAATAATTTGCTGAGCATCAAGTGGAGATGGCCAAACTGTTGGCTGAGGTTCATAGGCACTATATATTATAATGCAACCCTGTATATCACACAGGGTGCAAAGTTCATTCATTTTGTTCATTATCCCCTTCTTTCTCTTTTTAAATGATGCCCTTCTCTCTGCGTCGTTGGCTATATACTCGAGCTTTATTTTTCCTCTAGTCATGTTTAGGGATGATTTTTGGAGGGTGAAATGGTGTTGTAAACGTTATTTTTATTTCCAGAAGATGGTATTTATAGATGAAAGATTGGATTACTGATTGAATGGCAATTGTTTATTTTCTTTTTTAAATTCCAGCATTTAATTTTCATACAACAGGAAATAAAATCATATGGACAAAAATTTTCTTGGCTTTCTTGGGAAGTGGCAACTGTCTTGTACAAGTGAAATTAAAAATTAGTGAATATGAGATTATGAATATTCCAATTTAGCAACGAAAAATAAGAGAAAATATTCATCAATATTGGGTGCATAGAGAATGCTAAAATAGAAAGTAAAAAAAGTATAATTTTTGTAAGCAATACTGTGTGTTCAAAATAATTTTAAATTAGGAAAACACTTGCACAAGAAAATTAGAAGATTAACATTAAAAAGGTGTCCTTGCTATTAACTTAATGCACGGACATCAATATTACATATACCTTCAATCATTTACAATTTAATGAAATATAATTAAATAAATAAATAAATAAATTATAAATAATTTCATCACCTTCAAACATTTCTCGTTAACCGTGCATTAGATGTGCATTTGATGAATATCTTTCGAAATGAGCAATATTAATTTAATCAACTGGGTTAATCGTTGTAGAGGTGATCAATATCAAGCAACAAAATTTAAATGCAATTGTTTGTGCATCATTTATCTTGTGCTCGAGACTTCAATGGTAAATATGAGTTATAGTATAAACTCATGAGATATTATGTCAAAAATAAATAAATAAATGAAAGGTCATGAAATACCTTGCTAATATATCCATGATCACCCGTTACATAAATAGAGTTGTATAAAGAATTGAAAATTTAAGGACGGCTTATTGATATGCTCGAACACTGTGGAAAATCTGGTCGATACACATCTATGGCTCTTACGATAATCTAAGGTTACTAAGAAAAACTATTGGTTGCAAACCCTAAAATGCACATGATTTAATGAGAGTTTTTGGTGATTTGAAATTGGGATCGGTAAAACAGTCACATAAGCCCTTGATAAAGCGACATGTAAGAAAACACAATATAGCATGTGATCAACAAATCATCGATTCCTATGTATGAATACTGATTGGATCAAAAATTTGAAAGCATCATAGGAATGTCGATGATTCCATAGAACAATGAAAGTTCGACAACATCTATGAAAATCTTATATTTTCATTCAAGAGTAATATAGAAAACGGTAAATCTGTATTGCAAATTTATATAGCAAGTGTAGGATGTAAAACATAAATTTTCGAAAGACGTAATTGTCATTATTGGAAATAAATAAAACTTAAGAAATTACCAAAAAATGATAAATCTATGATGAAAAATTAAATAATTAAAATCGAAAAGACAAAAATGAAATCTTGCAAAAATCCTAATTGCCCATTCATAATTAAATTTGTTGGATATAAAATAAAAAATAAGAAAACAATGGAGCCATTATAAATTTTGTCAACCCTATATAATTTTTTTTTCCTTTTTAAGATAGCCCGCCTCACTTTTAAGAATTTGATCCATATCTATTATGATGTCAATGCTCATTCTCCATCTAGCTCTAGATTGAGAAAACGTGACTTTCAGCCATTCAACACCTACATTCCTCCTCCATTAGACCTTTTTCTAAGTGATATATATTAAATTGTTGATCATATGCACAATTAATCACACATGTCAAACCACTACAAAAAATTGTTATTTCCAGACGAGATATTTTGCAAAATAAAACAGTTATCGCAATGAGTAATTTAGCACGACACGTTTTTAAAGCTTATCGCAAATACTAGACAAAAAAGTACCCAAAAAAATATAAGCCTACATAAGAAATTGTGCAATATCCAAAAGTGCGACAAGTAATAAAGAATTGTGGCAAAAAACATGATGGGAAGCATGGAGCCAATATATTGTTTGGTGGGGAATTTATGGCAATAAACTGTCATTTCTTACAACAAATTGTTTTTTGTGATGTAATATGATCTACTGTCTGTGACAATTAATTTTTGTTGCTAAAAATCTAGGGATGGTGGAAAAAATTTGCTATACCCATATTTTTTTTTTTTTTTTTTTTTTTTTTTTTTTACAAGGTGTCCTATTCTAGACTAATCCTTGGGTCTGTGATCCGGCCCCTCTTCACACAGTCCGGTTAATCGCAGGATGTGCCTCCAACTGGCCAGGGTCCGAGCGCTCCCCACCTGGTCTGACAAAGTGCCAAGCAAGCCAATCCAAGTTGCACCTTGCCTTCCAAGAATAATCCTTGCCTTCCAAGTTCCCACTTGCCTTCCAAGAATAAATCCTTGCCTTCCAAGAGCCCCATGTTTCGAACTCACGACCTCTGCTCTGCCAGATTTGACAGCGTCCGTCCTTTGCCAGTGGAGAAGTGCCCTGGGGGGCTGCTATACCCATATTTGTCATTACTCTAGCCTGTAGGGATGGTGAAAAAGAAAATGAGACATCCACACTTGTCACGTATTTGTCTTTTTATAAATAATATTTGTCACAAGCCTATTCTACTATTTTTTATAAATAAATGAATTGCAAAAAAATTCTAACATTTAAAATTCGATCATTATGATTGCATTTAGTTTTTGATTGAATGGCCTTACTTGATTATTATGATCCAAAATTCTTACACTATTTGATTGAAAGATTTAAAGCATCACAGAAATATTTGGGATTCCATAGAATAATGGAAGCTCGTCGGCACCTATGAAAAGAAGGAAGAACTCACCCTGAGTAAATGGCAGGCGTTGGGTACTTAAACATCCTTTGGAAAGTTACTCGTAACTTGGACACAACAATTTTTCTCAACATAATGCAGATTGGATTTCATCTCGAACTGAAATCACAAAGGAAAAGAAAGTTATTTTCCGTGCCAAAGAACAAAAAAGTCGTTGACAAAAAAGCTATGGTACTGTTGTGGGAATAAATTAAAAAATAGTTTATGATTGTAGTGTAAAATAAATTATTTTATGTGATAAATATATTAAAGCCACATTTATGTAATTTTACTCATTACTATTTAATTAAATAAAAAATGCGGAAAATTGTAGTCTAACTAAAAAAAATTTGTTGTGGTAATATTATTACCTTTCTATTTTTTCTTTTCAATTTTAGATATTTAAACTTTTGGCACAGATTTTTCATTTTTTTTTTTGTAACTTAATGATTTTTATTTATTTCCTCATAATTTAGTTATATAAGGACAATTAGGTCTTTTAAAAGTTTAGGTTTTACTTCGTACACTTGCTATTTAAACTCTCATTGCAGCTCTATCGTTTTTTGAATAAAAATACGAGGGTTTTAATTCTGCCGAACTTTAATTATTCTATGAAATCCCAAATATTTCTATGATGCTTTCAATTTTTCGATCAGAATCAATGCTCATAGAAGCTGATGATTTGTTGAAGACATGTTTTATTATGTTTTCTTACGTTGCTTTATCAAGGGCCAATTCGATTGTTTTACCAATCTAGTTTACATATCACCAAAAACTCTCACGTTCTTGGTAGACTACCAATAATTCATCTTAGTACCCTTCAACAACCAAAGAACTTAATTATTTATACAATTATATTGTAATAATTTATGTAGAGAGTGATCACAAATATGCTACCATGGTATTTCATAAACTTTTATTTTCATTTTCACAAAGTATCTCATGAATTTATACCATATCTCGTATTACAATCGAAGAGTTGAGCACAACATAAATTATTCGTCAGAATATTGTTTCTTGAGATGATCACATCTACAACGATTTGCCCAGTTTATTAAATAAATATTGCTCAGTTTTTCAGAACATTCATCAAATGCACATCTAACGCACAGGTGAACGTAGATTGAAAACTAGGAATTGAGATTTTTTTAAGCATGTAGGTGATGAAATTATTTATTAATTATTTTCATTTCTTTATATTACACTGTAAATGTTTGAATGTATAAGTAATATCGATATCTGAGCATTAGTTAATACAAAGGACGCCTTTTTTGTTTTAATCGTCTAACTCTCTCGTGTAAATATTTTTCTAATTTTAATTTGGTTTGGATACACTCTATTGCCTCCAAAATTATACCTTTTTTCTTCCGATTTTAGCCATCTCTATGCACTTAATATTAATGGATTATTTTTCCCTTTTTTTTTCATAGCTAAATTGGAATATTGACAATCCCATATTGACAAATTTTTATTTCACTTGTACAAGACAGTTGCCACTTTCCAAATAAGCAATAAAATGTTTATCCATGTGATTTTATTTCTTATTGTGCGAAAATTGATTGCTGAAATTTAAAAAGGAAAATAAATCATTAATACTAAGTGCATAGAGATGGCTAAAAAAGAAATTGAAAAACTATAATTTTGGAGACAATATAGTGTATCAAGAATAATCAAAAATTAGAAAAATATTTACACAAGAAAATTAGATGCGTAACAGAAAATATGGTGTCCTTTGTATTAACTTAATTCTCCGACATCGGTGTTACATATACCTTCAAACATTTACAGTGTAATATACTGAAATGGAAATAAATAAGTAATAAATAATTTCATCACCTACATGCTTAAAAAATCTAAATTCCTGGTTTTCAATCTACGTTCACCTGTGCATTAGATGAGCACATTTTTTTGAAAAATGAGCAATATTAATTTAACTAACTAGGTTAATCGTTGTAGATATGATCAATATCATGCAACAATAATTTAATGCAATGGTTCGTGATAAATTGATTTTATACACTTATTCAGGGCTTTAAATAATGATATTGTAGCCTAATTCGTGTTATGTGGGGTCTAATAGGTAAAACTCATTATTTGATAAAGAATTGAAAAAAAGCAAAAAATAGAGAAAATGGAAAAATCAAAACTACAGGGACTGAATGCAATAATTCAAAAGTTGTGTCAGATTGCGAGGCAGCGATTCAAGAATGCCAATGTCAATTGGAGTTGAAGAGAAGTCAACAAGATGAGA